TCCTCACAGAAAGCGGCTGGATCTCCAGGGACGCGTCTTGAAGCTGAGACGCTTTGAAAGCCAGAGTGATGCTCAGACGGCGCGCCAGCCAAAAGACTTGGTGGAGGGGAGCCGCTTCCCCATTGTTGCTCTTTTTTAAACAAATGGAGTTCCTTTTTTTAAGACAAATTCTTTTCATGGTCCTCTGAAAGCAGCAATAGTAACAATCTTATATTGGATCATGGGGGAGGCAAACGTGTCTATTTTAACTTAGTTCTGCAAGTCGTACACTGAGATGATGCTCTGCCTTTACCTGTTCAGTTCGGAGCTTATTGTGAGATTGGATAATTTCCTTTTGAGTGTTCTTCCCTTTGGTACAAAAGCTATTGTGGGTGACAGGAGCAGTGTTTTCCTGCTGGACCGACAAGCCACCAGCTATTTCCTGGTGATGCAAGCTCTTCTCAGGCGGGGCTGCCTGCAGGCTCCTCTTTTCTGAGCCCACGCTGCCCACAGCTGACCCCAGCGCAGCCCCGGGCACGCGGCACTTTACATGGGGGCAGCTTGGGCCCAGACTCCTCCGCCTTGTAGCAGATGAGGAAAATCAGGCCAGAGGACAATAGGCTGGCATTTTGTTGGGAACTGAAGAGGAATCTGTTGAACACAGCAACCAGATGACCTTCCATTTCACCCGCGGCAGCAGTTTCAGCCTGCAGTTCCCAAACCCCACAGCTGACCCTGCACCTCATTCCAATACGGCCAGAGCCTGCTGGTTCACTTTGGGTAGAGCCGTGCCCCTTGGGCAGGCTCCCATAGTGGCCACGTCCCCACGAATGGGAAAGCACGTTAGTGGGAGGGACGTAGGACACGTGTGGACCGCCAGGCCCTCTCAACCCTTTTCCTGGGGCTGCTCGGTGCTGCTGTTAGATGTGCAGTGCATTTCACTTGGAAGAACCCATTGTATAAAGTTCAAGGCTGAGAGTTCTGAATTCTGGCGTCAGCTTCCTCAGGATTTTCTTCAGTTGCAAGTACCTTTCCACTGAAAATGTGAGCATGCCCGCCTGGCTAGGCATCTTTAAGAGTGTCGCCAGGCCCGTGCCAGCTGAGGCCTCAGACTAGCCAGGCTAGAGCCGTCTGACCGGTTGGTTGGCGGTGGTTCTGGCTGAGCACGAGGGAGCCCGGGTGGTGTCCCTGAGCCTCAAGCTGCTCCCTGTTCACTGTCTTGAATCAGACTCAGCAATGGCTTCTTCACAGCCCTGCCTACAAGCTGTTCTCTGGGCCCCTCTTTCGAGGATGTCCACGGTACCTTCCTCCGGAAACTTGAGGAAGTCTTTTGTCTTCCAGCTGCTCAGGGTTCTCCGGTCCAAGACCCTGCTTTAACAAGAGTCTGTGGAGTGCTCAGACTCCAGCGCTCCGTTCGTCAAGGAGGTTGACTTGCCTCTCGGGCCCCATAGGTACCAAGAGACTGTTTACCTCCCAGAATGTTTGGGCTTGAAGTTACATTAAAGTGAAGTTATTTGAAAGAAAGAAAACCTCATCATTTCTAAGGATGACTTAATTACTGTGCCTTTTCCTTTCTTTTTACACATCCTTCTGTCCCTTAGGGTAAAATTTTCAGCATTAAATAAAACATTTCAAATATATTGTATATGGCTTTAGTTGTAAACTATACTGCATGCTGACAGAGAAGTGCTCTTTTAGCTAAGCCCAGAACTTCTCTTTTGACAATAAAGTACTGAGCAGTGGTATCATGAGGGCCACCTCCACACTGTCCCCTGCAGAATAAATGCGGATGACAGAAAGCTGATGCTGTCTACCACTGAACAGTGATGGAGATGGTGCTAAGTTTTTACGGTTGTCTTAGCCCCAGTGGTCCTCAAAGTGGGTTTCCTGGCCCAGCAGCAGCATCCCCTAGGAATCTGTTAGAATGCAGATGCACAGGCCCCACCTGGCCTCCTGCATCAAAGTGGTGTGCAGCGGGGTGCAGCAAGCTGTTTTCACAAGCCCTCCAGGTGACTGGATGGAAGCTTGCTTGGGAACCATGGGTTTTAGCTATTCTGGTGTCTCCCTGATTTTCTACGCCAGGATCCTAGTTGGGTGAGGTTTTAAATTTAATCTTATTTTTATATAAAATGATTGCCAGACTTATTATATTAAGCTTGAAGAAGCAGAAGATCCCTGTTAATGTGTATGGCCCAGGCCAAGAGCTGTCAAATGAAAAACTTTGTGCTTAAGCAGGTTTTTAGTATGTATATCTTTTTGATGGTATGAAGAATTTATTTAGGCTTGACTGTTTTAAAACACCATAATGAATGTATAATTAATTTATGTTAAAGTAATAACCCTTTGTCACAAGGGAATGGTAATGTTGTGATTGGCTGCCTCTTAGCCCATCGACTATTCCCATCATGGTAGTCCTTACCTCTGTTGGCAGCTCAGAGCCTCCACATTTTTATATTTAATTCTCATGATAAATTAGCCAGCATAATCCCATGGAATTAGGCCTTGTTAAAATCTAGGCCAGCCACGGTGGCTCACACCTGTAATCCCAGCACTTTGGGAGGCCGAGGCGAGCTGATCACAAGGTGAAGAGATCAAGACCATCCTGGCCAACATGGTGAAATCCTGTCTCTACTAAAAATACAAAAATTAGCTGGGTGTGGTGGTGCACGCCTGTAGTCCAAGCTACTTGGGAGGCTGAGGTAGGAGAATTGCTTGAACCCAGGAGGCAGAGGTTGCAGTGAGCTGAGATCGCACCACTTACACTCCAGCCTGGTGACAGAGCGAGAGAGTCCGTCTCCAAAAAAAAAAAAAAAAAAAATTTTAAGCAAACTATCTTTGAGTCAAAAAAGTTGGATAACTCACCTATTTTAAATAATGCTGTCTGAATGGCCAACATCCCAAGAATGTATTAAAAACAGCAACCCTGCCTACCGTTTTGATGACCTTTTTCCATATTAAACACGTTGAGAACAAAAGAGTGTCACCGCTTGCTTCTTACCTCTGGTTCTGAAGTCAGATGTCTTCTCTGAGCCACACAGAGCTAGGGGTGAGCCACAGTTCAAACAGATACAGATTGTCACATGGCATACTTCAAAGTTTGGTACTTTGTATCAAACCAGTTTTTCCTCTAGAACATTAAAGTTGCTTTGTCTTTTTTCTTTTTTTGAGACAGAGTGTCGTGCTTGTTGTTCAGGCTGGAGTTCAATGGCACAATCTTGGCTCACTGCAACCTCTGCCTCCTGGATTCAAGCGATTCTTCTTGCCTCAGCCTCCCAAGTAGCTGGGATTAACAGGCACCCACCACCACGCCCAGCTAATTTTTTGTATTTTTAGTAGAGATGGTTTTTCACCATGTTGGCCAGGCTGGTCTTAAACTCCTGACCTCAGGCGATTCACCCACCTCGGCCTCCCAATGTGCTGGGATTACAGGCGTGAGCCACTGCACCCGACCTAAAATTGCTTTCTCTTAAGCAGAAACTCCTTCGTGCCAGTTGCTCTCCTCCCTCAAAGCAGCAGTACAGCCAGAGAAAGCCAAATGGGTCTGAGTCTTTCAGGAATCCAGACTGACTTGCAGATGCCTCTGAGACTTCCAGTTCTGGTTTTGACTGTCCAGACACACACTTGACTCATGCTGCAGTTATGCTAAATCCAGTAACTACTAGAATGTAGCTGAACAAATCTAATTTCTACTGTAAATATATACATAATTAAAAGACATTTTCCTATTACAGGTTGAGTATCCCTGAATCTGAAATGCTGCAAAATCGGAAACTTTCTGAGTGCCTACGTGATACTCAAAGGAGATGCTCATTTCGAGCATTTTGGATTTCGGGATTGGGGACACTTAACTCGCAAGTATAATCCAAGTAGTCAGGCAGAGAATCTCGTTTCAGTCAATGAGGGGCCACATATTACAACACTGTTCTCACTGTACCTTTAGTATGTTATGTTCAGATACACAGATTCCATTGTGTTAACAGATGCCTACAGTATCAGTACAGTAACTGCTTTCCAATTTAGGAGCAATAGGCTACACCTGTGTTTTTTAGGTACCTGTAGGTACACATGGTGTTCACAGGAAGAAACTGCCTGATGACTTATTTCTCAGAACACATCCCTGTGGTTAAGCCATGCTTGACTATATTCCAAAATCCAAAACCCCCAAGTTTGAAACAATTCTGGTTCTAAGCATTTCAGATGATACCCAAGTTACCGTTTGACTGTGGATGCCTGAAGGTTACTATAAAAAATATTTTACCATATGAAGCTGTATTGCCTCTAGGTTATGAGTTAAGTGCTTTTTAGCAACTGCAGCTCTAGCTGAGAAGGGAGGAGACTGCAACTATTCACAGAAATGAGTTGATAATTACTTTTCTTAGCCTCCATTTTACTCTGGAGCTCCAGGGCTGATGATGCACTCACAACCCCACAGCGTGCACACAGGCAGCGCTGGAGCTCCCAGTCATGTTTTCTCCGATATACATGCTGCCTTTACTTGTTTCTGACCACATTAATTGAAGGCATCTTATAGGTGGAACATGTTGGGAATGGTATCCCAGGCTGAAGTATTATGGGACCATTACCTGCATCTTTTAAAATTAGAAGTGAAATAAACTGTGCCCCATCTTTTCTAGGCAGCAAATGGCTTTCACCAGTATCTTCAATTCTAGAAGCAAAGGCAGCGAAAGGTTCTTTTCTTTTTCATAAGAGACTCCAATCATTCAGCCTTTTTCTAAGCCCTAGATGACCATGCAAATGAGGAACACAGTCTTTTCGCAAGACGATTTTGCAAATCCTGTGCCCTTGCTGTGGCTCCTAGGTGTTTCATATTCTTACCATGCCAGGCTGCAGCTGCACTGGGCGAGTGTGGCTCTCCCTTTCCGTGCAGAAGTGTGTGCATGTGTGTACGTGAGTGTGCACACACGCACATGTCAAGCTGACAGCTTCAGGGCTGGAGCAGAGAATGGGAAGGCTAAGCCATGCTTGCCTCAGTGGCAAGATCTCCACGAGTGGACACAAAATTGTTATCAGAAAGTAGGAAAATAAACATTAGGGCTTTAATCCTCTTAAATAAAATTTTTAAATTAAACATTAACATTTAAAGTACACCAAGCGTGCAGTCCTATTTTGAGAAAGTCCATTTTGCCAGGGAATACACCTTGAGGTCGTTAGTAACTAGTTGAATATGATTTAAATATGTCTGCATTTAGATGAACAGAACAGGGTAAAAGGACCTTTGCCAAGCCAAGCTCAATTCCTGGCCAAATAATGGTGCTGAGAATTGTCAGTGCCCACGCCCATTTCTCAGTGGTCAGTTTCAGCCGCTGTTGACTGATGACAAACGAACTCACTATGTTCTTCACAAAGATCATTTTTTTTACGGAAAATGTTTCAACTCTTGCCTTTCCTTCAGCGAATGAAATGTGATGGGCTAAATATGCCAGTCACTCATGCGCCACACGCAGTGAGCTGCAGGGACACACGGTGCAGACTGGCACGTCCAGGTAGCCAAACAGAATTCCCCAAGACCTTTTATTTAAAATACTTTGGTGTCAGCAGAGTCTGAGCAGACACATTACTCATGATGCTCAGGAGACCTGGCAGAGCCCCGCTGAGCTCTTCTAAGTATGTGGAACTATTCAACGCGTGGCACTAAAAGGGAACAGACTCCCGAATTACAGTTCATTAACGCAGTTATGCAACCCGCTTCATTTTCTGTTTAGCCACTGGTTACTTAAGGTTTCCAACAAGGTTTGGGAAAAGGTCACATGTACTCAAAGATGAGAAACAATGAACCAGCCTTAAGAGTTACAGCAAGTGAGTTTAAAAACACCCACCCCATCAATAGCAGCTAAGCTTCCTTCACCACCCCCACCAGGGCAGGTCTCAGAGTGCGCCCATGCAGCTTGTACCCCACTTTGCTAACTAGGGCCACTGTGCCCGGCTCCTTCCCCTCAACGGGCGTGTGGAACAAGGCCTCATGTTCATAAGGGTCGAACTTGGCTCCGACAGGGTTCAACTTGAGCAAGCCATGCTTTGTGAACACCTTCTGGATCTGGACTTCAGTCATGACCAGCCCCTCATAGAGGTTCTTCAGGTGAGGGTTATCGTCTTTAATTTCTTCTTTAGGAACACACTGTGTTGCCTTCTCCAGAACGTCTGCCACCTCCAACAAGTCCTTGCAGAAGGCTTGAATGCCTGAAGTTAAAGAAGATCATTTGCACTCCATACCAGCTGCACAGGGCAATTCCAACCTGAGCACTGCTGACCTGATGTGGAGGCTATTTAATAACTTGTCAAATCAGTTGCCTCAGAATTCCAATAGCTCAGTAACTTCAACAACACAAAACCCTCAACAGCTATTTGTGGGATGAGACCCAGAATTTACTAAATTTAGAATTTACTAAAATGTGAAGAAAGGGGGGAAAATACCCTTGAGACATCCAAGCCCAGATGTCAAGTAAGCAGTAAGATATAGAGGACTGGAACTCAGAAGATCCGAGTTTGAAGCTGAGACTTGTGTGCGGATGTCATTAAGCCCATAAGAGTGTGTAAGTCACCCAGGGAGCACAGCAAGGGGAGAGAACCTAGGCCTGGTACTGAGTCCCAAGAGCCCAGACATTTACAGGTCAGAAAGGGTAAGAACCAACAAAGCACATTACCACAAAGAGAGGCAGAATACCAAGAAACAGGCCACAGCATCCAGGAAAAAAGTGTTTCAAGGAGCGCTTCAATCTCTGTGAACGTAGCACAGACTCTGGTTCTTAGTTTCCACGTAGCCTCTCACCCTGTCTGACCTGGGGCAAGCCTTTTACCCTCCACTGAGCCTTAGGTTCTGCACCTCTAATACCCACTGTCAGTCACACAGAGACCAGCAGCCAGCGCTCAAACACCAGCCTGTGGAGCTGGGAGCCTGGGTTATGTACCAGCTTTGTGATGTGGGGCAGGTGACTAAACCGCAATGATCTCAACTGTAAAAATGGGAAGAACAGTGACAAAAACATCCAAAGGTGGCAATGCATATAGCACGCTAGGAGTTCTGAAGTGATGCCAGTGTTACTTCCGGAGGGCTAAGGGGATGGGCATCAGAGGCTGACCTGCTGCAGGTTCCCACCGAGGTCTCTGTGTGGGGCAGGACACACCTATTTACAATTCTTCATGCTAGTCTCAGCTACTTATTTCTGCTCCTCCAGACACCTTTGCTGTTGGGCCATCATAAAAAAAAAAAAATGCAGGGGATGCAACTGCTGGGCCCCCCGCCCCACAGCCTTGCTCTCTGACACTTCCATATGCATGGCCTTCCCCTTCCCCACCCCATTATCTTCTTTTCAGAATCAACACCATGTTACGTTGAACGTACCATATAATTTTGCCTCCTCCACCAATTTCTGGCTCCTCTGCCGCAAGTTCTCAGTGTCTGCCAAAGCTCGTTTATATTTTTCCTAAAATAAAAAAAAATTTTTAAATATTTTTTAATTTTTTTTTGAGACGGAGTCTTGCTGTCTGTCGCCCAGGCTGGAGTGCAGTGGTGTGATCTTGGCTCACTGCAAGCTCCGCTTCCCAGGTTCATGCCATTCTCCTGCCTCAGCCTCCCAAGTAGCTGGGACTACAGGTGCCCGCCACCATGCCCGGCTAATTTTTTGTATTTTTAGTAAAGACGGGGTTTCACCGTGTTAGCCAGGATGGTTTTCATCTCCTGACCTTGTGATCTGCCCGCCTCAGCCTCCCAAAGTGCTGGGATTACAGGTGTGAGCCACCACGCCCGGCTGGGAGATTTATATTAATATGGAACAAAGTCATAGGAAAGCGAGCTTGATTGGAAAATGGCTGTGTAACTAACTGCAAGTCAAAACAGAAGTAATATCACTGCCTTTGAAATATGACTAAGGAGGGTAGCTTAACGAAAGCTTAATAAAAGCTGCACTCAGGATCTTTTGCTATGTTCAATGTTACCCAGAGGTGGCTCAGTTCAAACACTCTTTGTGTAATCATCATCTGAGTTCTAGTATATTCCTCATGTCTCACCATCTTCCTGTAAGCTCACTCATCTGAGCTTTTCTCTCTCTTTTTTTTTTTTTTAGACAGGGTATTGCTCTGTTGCCCAGGCTGGAGTATGCAGTGGCATAATCAGGACTCACTGCAGCCTTGAACTCCTGGACTCAGGTGATCCTCCCACCTCAGCTTCTGAGTAGCTGAGAATATAGGTGCAAGCCACCACCCCTGGCTAATGTTTTTCTTTTTTGTAGAAATGGAGTTTTGCCAAGTTGCCCAGGCTGGTCTCGAACTCCTGGACTCAAGCGATCCACCCACCTCGACCTCCTACAAAGCTGGGATTACAGGCATAAGCTGCTGCACCTGGCCCCTCTGTCTTACTATAAATTAAATCTGTCAATTCAAATAAATAGGTGATAATCATTTTAAGGAGGGATCCATTTTAATTTCTACAAGGTAATGAAGCAGAAGTGAAAATGTTGAAGCTTTGAAACAGACAAAGGTCTGCTCCTATCACAGGAACAGCGCTCCTTTTTACTATGATCCCAATAGTGCATCCTGCAAGGAGGAAAAAAGGACTTTGAAGATTTTTTTTCCCCAGTGGAACTAGTTGTTGGGCCAAGTAGAAATGCATCACTCAAATGCCTTAAAGCTGGGCCTCCATGAAGATAAAAAGGTGGAAAGAAAATTTGCTTTTTAGCTCTGATTTATTTATAAAGTGCAGTAAATTTTCCTCATCTGAGTATATAAAGGATAAAGAAAAAAAGAAGCTGCATTCTTAAACAACCACAAGCCAGCTCAGATTAAAGGATGTTCTGAAGTACATGATTATTCCAAAAAGGGCAATAAAATATAGGGAACTAATGGATGACAGTTTAGTATTTTTGAGCTTTACAAGCTAACACGTATATGGACGGGTGAACCTTAATTTGAAAATCTTCCTTCTGCACATTTCTGTTCCAGTACGTTTAATAAAGATGGCTGCGATCCAACATGTATGTATAAGGCTTCACATTACAGTCTACTTCACTTGCTGCCAGCTTGGCATCTCCCCTGGAAGCTCCAAGAAAAACAACACAAAACAAGAAACTTCAAACAAGTCTGAGAAACAGCTAGAAGAGTCCCCATGCCCTTTCCAGCTGGGCTGGAAAACAAGACTTCCAAGCAGCAATATCACCTATGTTCATGGCTGCGGGTTGTTCCTTAAACTGATTAAATGGAATGAGTCAAAAATATTTAAAATAATACATTTCATAAGCATGATAAGTGAATAAACTGCTTTGGCTTCTTCTTCACTTGACTTTTAAAACTAGTAGTCTCTGCTAAATTCTAGTTTAAAAATGGTAAACCCTGTAGACAGCTAAACATCTGATACTTCAAGAGTCAGAAAAAATGCCCAGTAAAATGAAAGTTAGTACTGGTCTTAATATTGAATATATGGTAATATTTCCCAAATTGATCTACAGATTCGACACAATCAATGCATGCAGAGCCACAAGCCAAGGAACAGGGGCAGCCTCTAGAAGATGGAAAAGGCAAGGAATGGATTATTCCTATAAGCTCAATGAAACTATGATGATCCAAAACACAAAATCAGAAGTTATTCTCTCACTACTAAGGGAAAAGCTTGAAACAGGTATGACAACAGCATAAAGAAGTTCTATAGAACTCTGTTCTGACAAGGACCTTTTATTGCCAACAATGTAGGCTTACCCAGAGAGCTTGCTCCCAGGGTCAAACACCAGTCTTAAAAAACCATGCCTGTCTGTTGGTTGAAGCATGTTAGTTATAAATAGAAATGAGGAATCTTATTAAACAATTCAAAAACCTCTTAAGAAGATATGGATGTCAGCTAGGACGTCCATAAATCTATGACGCCAACTGGATTGGAATCATAATTCAAAAGAACTAGTTCTGGCCTCAACCTTGTAGCCTTCATTCTCAGTAAGTTAGTTTTGTTCTGGGAGCAGAGACAAGGGTGCTGGCAGCAAATTCTAAGATCTGCTCATTCAAATACTATAGAAAACATAAAAGAAGTGTAAGACATGCTTCCTATCTTGTGGAAACTATAATCTGACTAAGGGAAAAGTTGAAAATACAAGGAGAAAAATAAAATTATGCAATATCGTACACATTAAATCTTGTGACAAATTTTAAGTGCTAAAAGAATACAAAGAATGTAACAATGCAGTAAGAGGCTATATAAGAAACAGCTCTCAGAGGATCAAATTTATGTGTAAGGTAGGAAATAAAGATATGTAAGTAAAATTAATGAAAGGTTTAAACAGTTCAAAGTTTACATAATAATTTTATGCTAAACTAACTTCTGCCTGTAATATGGGTCCATAAATAAAACAAATTCTAGCTCAGCAAATACAAAAGCAAGTAATACTTTTACGGTAAATTAACAAAATATTGAGAAAATTATCCTTAAAGATAAAGCAGTCATGGTTTATGGTCAAAAAAATTCCTTTAAAATCTTTAAATTCTTTAAAATTCAAAATAAATCCCACATATGATGCTATTTTCGTTTATGTCTCTATATTTAACAAAGGATTAAAACTTCCATTTATAAATTGTACATAATATACGCAGAGTTTACATACATACCCATTAATATATTTCATTATAGATGTAGTGTTATATCAGTAAATAATAAGGAAATATATGTTATTCTTGTAAAATGACAAAACCTAAATATTCTGGAATAGGTGAGGACCACTTCTTGTTACTAGGAGAGGAAGAAAGACAGTATGAAGTCACTCAAGCAGAATGATAAGTAAACCAACACCAGATCAAAGGAATAAAGAAAAAAGGCTGAAATGTGAATCTGAAATATTTATTTCCTTCAAAAACATTATCCATGCCTTGTCCCAGGGCAGTTCAATATTTCAAAGTAACTGGAAAATATTCAGTTCTCTGCTGTCTGATCGCCCACGCGTGGTAGTGCAGTGGTTGTATCTTGGCCCCTGCCAAGCATCCGCTTTCCACGTTCATGCCATTCTCCTGCCTCAGCCTCAATGGGTAGGCTGGGCGTACAGAGTTGCCGCCACCATGCCGGCTAATTCTTTTGTATTTTAGTAAAGACGGGGCTATTCACGTGTAGCCAGGATGGTTTCTCACTTCATCTTGGACCTTGCTGATACTGCCGCCTCAGCCTCCCAAAGTGCCTGGGATTACAGGTGTGAGGCCACCACGCCCGTCTGGTGAGATTTACTCATTCAATATGGAAACAAAGTCGATAGGAAAGCGAGGCTTGATTGAGAAAATGGCGTGTGTAATAACTGCAAGTCAAAAACAGAAGTAATAATCCACTGGCTTTGAAATATGACTAAGGAGGGTAGCTTAACGAAAGCTTAATAAAAGCTGCACTCAGGATCTTTTGCTATGTTCAATTTTACCCAGAAGGTGGGCTCAGTTCAAACACTCTTTGTGTAAATCAATATCTGAGTTCTAGTATATTCCTCATGTCTCACCATCTTCCTGTTAAGCTCACTCATCTGAGCTTTTCTCTCTTCTTTTTTTTTTATTTTTGAGACAGGTATTGCGCTGTTGCCCCAGGCTGGAGTGAAGTGGTGTAATCATCG